GGCAGGATGAGGTCTCCACATATGGTCTTCCCCCATACTCTTGGAATGCCAAATTTCAGACCCAAAGGCTACAAAAGAAATGCAATTGTATGTAAAATTAAACATGCAGAGTTCCAGTTGTAAAAGGAAGGATGGTGCAACCCACTTAACCCAGTAGTTGGGTCAAGTGCATTTAACTGTACACAGCTGAACTTTAAGATAAGGATTTCTTATTTGTTTGGAGCTTTAGAACCTTCAGTGTTGCATGAGAACAAACTTCTATTCTTGAGAGACAAGTATGTGCATATTCTCCCCACAGTTCAGAAGACAGAAGCAACAACTCCATCAAAACAGCTTTGAGCAGTACAACACTACATCTGAAGCAGTTTGGCTGGGATACTTGTTAAAACATTTTTTGTGGCAACATATCTTCTAAAAAAAAACAAGCACAGGGTATATTCACTTTTACTCTTCTCCTCATACAAGTCCCAATGCTTTGTGCAGGTGCTCAGGTCATGACACTTCGTTATGAATGACAGTGGGCAGACTAATGAAGCTCTTTGCAATTGTGTCAGAACTGCAACACACACGAGCATTGAAGTGCAGAGCTAAGGAGAAAGATTTAAGGGTAAACAGAAAGTGATGGTTTCTCCAGGCCCAAAAGCAGCTGGACAAGACATCAGCTACAAATAGGCACAGAAAAGCTACTGGTCCTTAGTATGGTCACACAAGGGCATACATCGATCAAAAAAACACCACTAGTTTGATCATATCACCAGGATCACAAGAAGAAAATCTGATGGCAAAAAGAATCTTTAACTCCTAGTATTTTTTATTTATCCTACTTCTTCCTCAAACCTTGAAACATTTAAATGATTCCCAATGTTTGTCTGATTTGTCTTTTAGGAGTCCAGAGTAATATAAACAGATCTTGGACTTTTGCAAATAGAGAGAGAAAAATTCAGAAATTGAAACAATATACAATTCCATTGCATTCCTTTTAAATGATGCACAAAACAAGTGCTTTAAAAACAGGGAAACAGAGTTTGGACTCCGCAAATTATACAATTGCAATATCAACAACTGTTGCTAGCAATAGGTAAAAATACAAAAAAAATGGATGGTTAGCCTGCACTAGATGTGGTGCTCAGACAATGTTAGCCACATGCAATAGACATGTGCACACATGCATGTTTGTATCTGTAAGCAGAAAAGTACCCAGGACAACTTGTGCTTTCCTGTGTGGACTCTACTGCCAGGACAAAGTAAAGCAACACCAAGATTCTTAGGGAGACAGAAACTGCATCTCATTAGATCAGATGAGACTTTGGTGTTATACACCAGTGTGAACCATCATGGAGATGGACACTAGAGAATAAGATATCTCAATCACATGGAAATCATTCTCCTGAATGTGACCCAGTCCAAGGAGCTAAATGTGAACTGGTGCTTGACAACATCTCCATCTCCTAAGTTAGTGACACTGGACTGTACCTGAAGCAGCTGGAGAACAGTGTTCATGCTCTTGTCAAATAAGCCTTATAGGTTTGCATGAAGAGGGATAGGATGAAGCGTCACACACATTAGCATAGCTAAACCCACATTAATACAACTAAACCCAACTACTCAGTCCCAAACTCCTGAACATTCAGTTTTAGGAATGCTTGGCTCCAGCTGTATGTATGGGTGTTCAGACCTGACACTAAGCTCTGGCACGTTAACAAAATCCTAGGTCTGCCTACTATGTAGGTTTTTCATCTTTACACCCATATAAAAAAACAGCAGCAGAAATGCAACAGACACTTGTTTCAATAATTAGGATGACACCTCAGTTTTTTCGGTAACAAGTCCTGCAGAGGGTCATAGCAATACTTTGTCACTAGAAAACAGTACATATGAAGGATCAGCTCCATATGGAAACTCTGCTGCAAATGCCCAAAGTTCAACCACCTACCTCTTCTGACCCAAGGGAGAGCCACTTGTGAGTCCATCCCCACAAGGTGAAGAAAGGGTCCATACAAAGATATTACAACAAAAGTTCCATAACCTTCAGGCACATCACAGTGGAGTCTCAAGGCTCACTATGTGGTTTGTAAGCACACAAACAGACTTCAACAACATTTGGATGCCAAGAGGCCCCTGACGATGGTGTAGCTGAAATTGCCAAGGAACACACCTTTGCTCAGTCAAACAAGCAGGAGACAAAGGAAGAGCCACCCATGTCCAGTCTGGACAAAGCAGCAAAATTCACACTACACAAAAATAAGTGAGACAGCAGCTTGTTATACCTTATACCCCGATGCCAGCAGTGTTTTCAGAAAGGATTTTCAGCTGACTGAAAGGGATATCCTCAACATCAGCTAACCAGTGCGCTCCCAAGCATAAAAGAACATCCACTCAAAACAAGCTAAAGGGACTTAGGTTGCTCAAACACTTTTGCCAGAACAAGGAAACTGTTAGCAAATAGCTCAAAGGTAAATGGACATAAAGTCTCCTTGCAAGTTCTTCATTAATGTTTCTTCTAAGACCTTTTTTCCCTGAAGCCTCTTTTAGTCACAGATTTTATTTAAATCCCTCACATGCTTTACTAGATCTCCCTCCATGTTTACCTTTAGCCTTTCAAATTGTTTCCATTTCTCCTTCAAAATACAGCCAGACTTTCCCTCCCTCTTTCTACTTCTGCATGCCCCAATAACCTATTTAATTAGTGTCTGAAAAAATTGTTCTACTAGAGGAAAAAAAAAAAGAGGAGAGCAAAACTCAATTACAGAAAATTAATTCACACAAGGTTTAAAAGTCTTCAAAATGGAAGTTTTGTTTTCTGAACAACTGCATCCATTAAAAGAACAGACTCATACTTTTCCTTGTTTTCTCTCCCCAGAGAGGGACAGGCACTCCAAGGAATCTGAGGGGCTAACTTGCCTGAAGTCCACAGAACCACCTTCTCTTTTCCAAATACGGTCACTTGCAAGTACAAAAAGGTGAGATAATTTCAATTATTCATGTTCAGTTCTTCAAATTGTTAATTTGTTTTAGAAGCCCATCGTATCAGGTTCAGGGGCTGTACTGGTACCACCCCCAACCTCCACAAAAGCTGTCAGAGTTTATCTATGCAACCTGTGAGTTTCTCTCTTTTTGCATTTTAGCTTGTCACACATCTAGACTATATGGAATGAAAGCTTTTTCAGAAGACTGAGCATGAACAGAAGCAAGGGAGTTCAGACAGTGTGGTCCTTCCAGCTGCAAAGTTTCTACAGTTTTACACAGCAACACTTGTTTCTTGATGCCTTTTTCCAGATGTTGCCACTACTCTATGTCCAGAACCCTGGAAATTGCCAGAGATCTCAGCAGGCCAGAAAAGATGCATCTAGGGGGGGATAAAGGTGCACTAGCAACAAGGGGACAGACAAGAGTAATCACCAAATTCAGCATTGTTTAGGTGCGTATTTAAAGCAAAAGCAAAAAGAATCACAACAGGGGGGAAAGGTGGGAAAGAAATGAAAATAAACCAAGTGATGAACAGAACTGTGGGCTTACAGTATGCATCTCAAGAATAGCAAAGTAGTTTGTAAATCTGGAGTAAAAAGAAAGGAAAAGCCACACTTTTAATTACCACTACAGAAAGTTATATACTGTTAACAAACCACATCCTTTCTCTTAAGAAAAGAAGAAATAAATTGAGGCAATCCATTATCAGAGATAACATTTTATATAATACAATGAAGCAGAAACCTGTAGTTTAGTTTAGTCTGCCAATCTAATTGAAGTGCAGAAGGACTGGGAGAGAATTTGTCATAAATAGAGGCTCTACTATTAACAATAAAATAACTAAGTATAAACATATTTCCATTGCACTCTTCATTGAAGCACTTTTTTCTGATAAAGCCACTATTATACTCAATATAGTTCATAATACCAAAGTTTTTCATTCCCAGAAACAATGCTATGAGTGCGGAATTTTTCCTGTTCCTTGCAGAGACTTTTTCTTGGCTTCTTCTTCTGGGAAAAATATTTAGGCAACAACTACCCTTTAGTGCAATGTAACTTGAGTTATTTGATAAAGTTCAGTGTGCTGTGCTGCGTTTTTATTTTTTTAATTCATGAATAGTCTCAGACTTAGCTCTCTAGATGTCACTGCAGGGCAAAGAAGGGGACAAAGTGAGCAACAGCAGAGTTCTCTCATCCACTTGTTAGAGTTGCTCTGAAAATTCACCTTCCATTGAGCTGCTAACAACCATCACCCCCAGAAACAGGGAAGAGATGAAAATCACCTTCTCTGTGTAATGAGGTAGTGCTTTGCTATTCAAGAAAAGAATCTCAATTCCAGAAAGACTCTGGAGCTTTCTGATATAAAAAATTATCTTCTGCTCCATAGCAAAAGACCTCATTATCATTACTAATCAGCACTGAATTTGAGTAAGATTCTATTGAACTTTTTCACATATTTATTAGAGAGCAAAGTGGCAAGTAAATCACAGCTTTCTGGCGATTAATCCATGTAATTTAAATCCTATATATTTTGCAGTACTGTATTCAACAGGGCTTGTACACTTCTAAAATTGCTACATTCAAACAAACATTTTAGCTGCATATAGATTCCCACTTTATGACAAGAGATCATTTCCTTCCATATCAACAGGAATAAACTTGCAGACTAGCATTATTAATTGAAAACTTCATCAATTTTTAAATTCTATTTTATATGAGATTTCTTTCTGTAATAATTCAAATTCTCTATAAAATAGGATCTACCAGTTTTCTAAGAAACACTATTTTCTGGTTTCACTGAGCATTGCACTAAACGAGCAGTGACCGCCTGCTCCCAATTGCAGCCACATGAAGCTTTTCAGTGTGCAAGCAGGAAGACAAACATTTAGAACAGAACACAGTACCAAAACACTATTCCCAGATTTTTCAGGTAATTTGGCAAAAGATGCAGCAATCTGCTCAGTTTTGAACAGCAGCATTGGACCGATTAGTATCACCATCCACTAACCATCCAAAATCAGAGCTTCCCTTACCCCAAATGGTGGATATGAAGCAGCAGCAGCAGCAGATGCAACACTCACTGCGGGAGGTGGTATTCCTGAAGAAGAAGGTGGGAACAGACCCAAGGCATTCAGATTTAATCCAGGAATTAAATGTGCTTGAAGCTGCAATGGCAGAAGAGTTATTTAAGATTTACAGTCCTGGTTATTAACTTAAATAAAATCGGAGTTGACATAGTCTATCAACCTTTTGGGATGTTATTTAAAAAAAAATTCATCCCCATTACTCCAAGAACTCTGCTTCAAACCTATTTCCCAGACACATGGACAGACCAATAGCATTAAAAACATGTAGTAGGAAAGACATCTGGCAATCCCTTGCTACAATTTAGTAAGCGAAATATATTTCAAACTCTATGGCAAGACACCCAGATAACAGTACAATTTACCTTCAGAGTGAACAAAATTATCAGAAAAATAATAATTTTGGCCTTATACTAAAAAGACAGTCCTGTGGAAACAGAAAGATCATGCACAAACCCTGACTTTTCATACTCTGGGGGCATAGATACATGACACTATAACCCCATCCTCCTTCCCCTATCCTTTCCCTCACACTCCTTTGCAAAAGATGAAGTGAGATACCTCCAGCATTTGCTGGGAAAGGATCAGCTGTAAAGTTGCATGTCTCTTGCTTGACCACAGCTGAGAACAGTGGCGGCATCATACGGTAAGGAAAAATCTGTTGTCAGTGATACAAAACTTTTCAGTACCCTTTTCCAGATAATTGCCCAGTAATATGAATATGCTTTAGAAATACCTCAGACAGACACCGTCTCAAACCGTTAAGATAAGTCACCAAAAAATCCCAAAACTTCACCAACTCTAAAACTACCCTAATCACTACAAACTAAACTTTAAATCCATACAGTAACAAAGGCAGTTTTTGGCTTTCCACATGTTTGCCAAACAGCAACACAGTCTCTAGCTCACCCCATGTTATATGAACACAGTCTCTAGCTCACCCTGCTTGTTATATGAAACAAAAATGCACCACAATAAATTACTTCATGTCCTCATGTGTAGCTTATGTCCTGCAATTTGCTTAGCATGGGAGGCAGGGGGAAAAGCGGGAAGAATATTCTCTCTAGTCAGTAGGAAAACCATGAACACACATTTCTAGAAAATCAGGACTACTGTAAACTGCGAAATATTTCCAATCTAATTCTAGACCATAAGATTTAGATACACATACACAAAAAGCTCTTCATAACTTATCATAAGTCTCAATCATTTCTCAATATGCATTAGTAATACTTTGGCAAACTAATGAGATATGTTGTTTTCATTACATAAGATCCAATCATCTTCAAATAGCTAAATGCCTTTATCATCTATATCAAGAAAAAACTTTTCATAAAGCCTTCTTAAATTAAATAATTGAAAACAGGAGAGACCCTTCTTCCATACATATGAAGAAACTGTGAATCACTACTTCATAAAACATGCAAGGTAGAGCACACAAACCACAACAGCACAAACACACCTTCCTTCATGTTTTTGCAACAAAAAAAAAAGTGAAATGGTCATTCATTTCCTCAATCTGAATCAAGTTATCAGTTCCCCCACTCAAAACCAACCAGAAAAGGCCTTCATTACAATAACATACATGTATAAATAAATAAATAAACACGTGCTCACACTCCCACAAATTAATAAAAGAGGCAACAGAGGCTGCAACAGGAAAATTCTGATATTAGGAAAAAAAATTCACCATAGAATAGTGAGACAGGGCACAGATTGCCCAGAGACACTGTGGGCTTTCTATCCGTGGAGATGTTCAAGAGGAGACAAATCCCTACACAACCTAGTTTAACTTTGAAGTGGGGCCTGTATTGAATAAACCCCCTGCTGAGCCAAGTGACCTCCAGGAGTCCCTCACACCTAAATCTTTCTATGGTTCTAGTTTCAGAAAGAGACCCCACCATAAGAAAACTCACATTCATAGCAGCAATGTCATTTTCATAGGACTCCCTGATTTTCTTCATAATTTCTTCCTCGGCCTTGGCACAAGTCTCAATACTGCCTTTAACTGTAATGGTCCTTTCCGGATTATAGAGTGTCAAGTCCTGCAATCTGCAAAGGAAACAGAAGCACAGTTAATTAGCAAACAAAAAGAGGGTAATCCATGTTTATCATTAGAGAGAAATGACATCCGAGAGTGTCAAGTTTGCTCTCCAAAGAACCATAGAATCAATTCATAACAGGGCTCAAACAGAGAATCTGGAGAAACTCTGACCTCCCAGGAAACACGGCAAACTACCACAGTGAGGTTTGGCATGAGATGGTTAAGACATGCTTAGGTGCTATGCAAAATGGAAACCATCACGCTGTGTAGGAATGTAAGCAACATTCTGCTTCACACTCCACATCAGCCCTACCAACAGAGAGGGCTTCAGACACTTTAGACACCCCATGAACACAGGCCATAAGAAACTTTCTTTCTGTGAGAACTATAGTGTATTCCTTAAGGATGGAGGGGGAAAATGCCCAACCCTCAGTGAAACTGCAGGAGAGCCTCCAAATACTCAAAAAGGGGAAAAGGAAAGCTGTGTGCAAGTCAACATTTGCTGCGAAATGCTAGTAACTCCCCTGGGAAAACAAAAGGGTGGCAACATTAAACGAGTGCTTTATTTGGTAACAAATGCTAACTTACTATGGTAAAATGGAATAAACAAACTGGGAAGCCACGGCATATCCATGCACTGAGAAATGGAAAAAGGGGTGAAGACAAAAAGTTCAGAGCAAGATGCAGGAGTGAGGAAGCCCGTGGCAGAAAGTAGAGAGGAAGCAGAATGCAAGGCTTTGCTTTCTTGCACAACAGGTAGCATAGCAACCTGCACATCTCAACTGAACAGTGGCAAGCACAAAATGCATCCACAAAACAGTCCTTAAGTTTCCAGCGCAAAAGCCTCAAGTTACTGTCTCAGGAAGGAAAGTGATGGGAAATACCCCAAAGAAGAAAGGAAATGCTTTCCCAAACCATCTGCCTTACTTTACATTTATAGACAAGCTTACAAAATAGCCTAAATGAAGAGATCGGGAGAAAGACTAATTGGATAGAGCAAAATCAGTGGGCAAATATGCTCTCTTTACGTATCGATTATATCAGGCAACTTCATGGGGCTATTTCAGGCATAGCATGACAAATACAATCTTGAGACCAAGGTTTTAGTGCAAATAAACCATTAACTTACTAAATTAAAAAAATACTGTGTTTACAGACAATATGTTATTTGTGTCACCATCAATAAAGACAAGTTGATTTCACAGAAGGAAGACCGTTATCCCATTTACCCTGTACACATTTTTTTCCTTTAAGCAATAGCATTAACAGTCTGAGTACTGTTTGCAAACAGAATATTTATGCCAGCACAATTAAGAGAGCATGCTGGCCTTACACAAGCTATTATTGAAGCACACATTTCATTTGTTTCTCTTCCTTACACTAGTTCCATAAACACTTACACACCTTTAAGGAGGGCCTCAGGTTCTTTCACCCAAATTTGATTTCCTCTTTTTGAGGAGCCACATTCACTCCAAACTTCCTTGTCCTCATTTGAGCTATTTTCTGCTGTACTTTTTTTGTCTTCTGCATGTATTCACACCTCTTCATCCATCTTCATGTGTCTTCCAAACTTTTTCCCCTTCCTACAGCCTATAAGCCTTATTCTCACCCTTTCTGGATAAAGCCAAACCCAAGATGCCCTCAAATGCTTGAGGTTCATGCCAGAGCATTAGTTATTCAGAACAGGAGGTTCTCTGTGGATATTACTCCGGGGTAAAACTACTATTGACTGCCAAGCTTCTACAGAGATGTTAATCTAAACAGTGATTTGCAGATTTCCAGTGAAGGTGAAAACTCTTGTCTAATCTCAGCTAAATTTGAACAGGTCTCACAGTTACCTTCACAGACTCATGGACCAAAAGCTATTACTTTGAAGCAGACTAACCAATGTACCACAGTTTGGCTGCTAGTGGTCAAGAGGGACAGAACTGCTACTAAAAATACTCTTTCCAGTATTCATTTGCTTTACTTCCTTACCTCTAGTCCAAAAATTTAATACATAGCTGTAACTAAAACATCACTAATTTCACTCATTTTTGCACAAAGCTCAGAACTGATCCAGACTTACAGTTTCAAACACTCATCATTACATATGGTATAATATGTTAAAAACAACCAACACTTAAAATATAGTCTGACACAGGCTCCACATAGCCTATGTTATTTTTAGGCTTGCTCTTGACTGAGTTTGCAATGAAGACTCACTGTTTACATAAAATTTAACTGAGCTTAAGTAACAGTTTAATCCACATGACGGAAAGGCCTCTGAAGGGCTGTTATCTCAGCCTTCAACACACATAATATTTTTCTAAGAACTCTGTACCTGAATGTACTGCAGCAGTATTGCTGCTATTTGAGACATCTCACCAAAACCTTAGGCCACCGAAAACTTACGGAGATATCGTGATTTTAGTATCTGTGTCCTGTTCAATTTTCTTCAGGTTTCTTCCCTCTTTGCCAATAAGTCGGCCAACGAAGTTATTGTGTGCCAATATCTTCAGGGGAATTTCTTCTGTACTGTAATGGAAGTTATAACCAGTGAGACTTTTGGAGACCAGAGCATAAGTTTTTATGTGTGTTACGGATTAATTTTATTTTCATAGAAACATCCACAACTCCCATTCACTATCACATGTTTACACTAGATGCAGAACAAGTCCAAGTGCAGTGGACTTCTCAGAACTATCACCTAGAGCTTCACTGTAATGTACCTTGAGCTAAAGCTCAGATTGAGGTAGCAAGAGCTATTGGGAAGAAGGAGGTATATCTTAAAGCTTTTAGCGAGGGCTCACAACTTGTTAAGCTCACTCTGACTAAAAGCTATCAGTTGCTCAAGAAACTTCTGTATTTGCTCCCATTCGCCTCAAAATCACAGGCAGACAATGACTGAAACAGCAGATGTGTGCTGGGGCTAATTAAGCAACAAGACTGTCCTGAAAGGCAAAATGTCTTAATTCCTTTACATACTTAGAAAAGGATAACGGCAATGAAGATTCACTTGTTAACAGTTTTTAAAGACTACATCTTTAAATGGAGTCAACAAGAATTCAGAATTTTTAATGCTTCCACAATGAATGCCTTTTACTCACAATTTAGTATCTTGAGCTTCCTTTTGCATGATCTCCATAATAATTTTACAAGCCGTTGAGCAGCCTTCAGGAGTTGAGTGGATGGTAATTGGTTTCTCAGCAGCACCTGCATTCTCTTTACGATGAATATCAATTCTTGAAAGAAAGAAAAATGCTAACTGTAACCATGTACTCTGTGGTAAGCCTTCTGTATTTTCAACTCTCATAAAACTAATTTATTTTGAGCTAACAGTGACTACACTTAAGTGATTTAATATTGAAACATTTACAACTACTTAAACATATCCTAAATACTAATTTTTATGCGTTATAAAGAGTCTCTCCTATCCTGATTTTACCAGTTAAACCCCATCTTTGTAGATACTGGGATCTCCTTTCCTCGGTAGGGTCCCATCCAGATACACAAGGGAGTTATTAGACAATCTGTAGTAAACCACTGAAGACATCTCATCAAGCTTTCCCAACACTCCATCATTAGCCCCATTGCTCCACTAAGAATGACTGTGCAGCTACAGGACAGTCAGGCTTTGTCCCATCTTGTCTTTAATTAGCTCAGCAGCAGAGTTTCCCAGCACTCCTCTGCTAGCAAGTAGCATCACGGCACTCACATCCATCCTCAAGATTAGTTTCTTATACTTTTTCATCCTGGATTTTGTCCTGACATTACCTTTCCTCTAGCCCCAGCCTCTATTACCCTAAAAGCACTAGCCTTGGTCTACATCATGGTTTATGTAGCTCTAGGACTTTAACAAAAATTAATTTTGACCTGCATAAAGACAATGCCTAGGATATTACTGGTCCTCTGCCAATAACTGCAGGTCACATGCTCTTTCCACCTCTGCTTTTTCCTTTTGCCCCTCTTCCCCAAATCATAGCTGTTTCCAAACTGAAACAACAATGCTGCTTTTCAATAAGGCCCTTCATTTTTGCAGTTCTTTCCAGTACTGAAAATTCATTTAGTTTCACAATGAAGCATTTTCCAAGAAGCCCATGACAATCCTTGGTAGAAGTGGAAGTATATGAAATTTCTTTTTTTATCCCTAAATCAATGAAAACATCTTTCTTGAAGTTGCATATCTGTAAAGTTAACAACCTGCAATTATTTCTGCTCTATCCACCGTTCTTTTAAGATATAAAAGTTTTCCTTATGCCAATTTTCCAGGATTTTTAGAGTTGGAGAACTAGATGTTTTAGATATCACCTGAAAAACTGGTTACCCATAGGCAATCTACAGCCGAGTCTTGTCAGGACACCACAAATCTCTTAAACCTGTGCAGTTAAACACACTAAATAGTCTCCTGGGTTACAAAATGCTAATGAGAATTTGGAAGGAGCATCATGATAATCCCAGGTTTGGAGGGTGGGGGAAAGCCTGTTTGTTGGGGGTTGGGGTGTAATTAGAGAGGACTCTTTTATCCTCATTAACTACTCTCAAAACTGAAGCCGCCACCCCCTCTCATACCCCTCACACACAGCTTATTTCCACATCCTGCCTGCTGCAACTACAGAACTGGGGGCTCCTACCAGTGTACCGCTGAAGACAGCATTTTAACTCTGCTTTTAGGGGTATCCTGGAAAAGTTCTCGGAATAGGAACCCCACCTCCCTCTTCATCTGCGCTGAGCTCTTCCTTGTGGGTAGGGATTTAACACACACTGGAAACAATCTCCTCCAGCGTCTCTAGACCCCAGTTCTCTAAGCTTCTTAAGTCACTTAGCAGCTTGCTTTTTGCCTCCCGTGCATTTCCTTAATCTGCGTCTTGGTGTGGTCTGCAACTTGATAGCAACAAATGTGTTCTCCAGAAATACAGGGGGGGTGAGGTGTAAGAAGTAGTGAGGGTAGATAGGAAGGGGTTTAGTTCATTTTTATTCTCCCCCCTCTTGAATTGGCAACATTTACAAATCTTAAGAATGTCATAAATCAAACTAAAGCTAGAATAAACACCTGAAGACTTGGATATGTCAGCACACTGACTGTATGTCCCACAGACAAACATATAACAGCTCTTTCAGTTTCACTTTTTGTGCCAGAACCATAACAGTACATCTGTAAGCAAACCTCTCCAACAGAGTACTATCCTGCTAGCACTGCCTAGTTTCCCTCTTCTAAGAAGGGAGAAACAAGTCAGTATTTGAACATACACCAAGGACAGAATTTAATCCTTAAGTAAATCTTGCAAAAGACTTCCTGTTCACCGTTACCTTCATTTGCTCTCTGACCACACAGGTTAGTTGTGAAGTTTTACAAATTCCCCTTTACATCAGCAATGAGAACACAATATGAAAGCTATTAATTACAGTTTTGTAAGATAACTTACTTGGACTGTGTCTGCTTTGTAATGTTTCTGATTGTTGCTCCTTCTTTCCCAATAATGGCTCCTACAAACTGCGTGGGAACCAGCATCCGTAGAGGAACGTCTGACTGTGGTTTCTGCCTTGTGGTTGCGCCAGGTGACCCTTGCCTAGGAGGACCCCTCTGTCCAAATCCACGTCTTCCCTGGGGATGTTGTTGCGGAGGTTGCTGGGCTGCCATTTCATCAGGGATGTATGCAACTTTCAAGGAATAGTTTTCAAGCTGAAACCCGTTCAGTTTTTCTATTGCTCTGTTTATTTGCAAAGGGGAGGAGAGAGGAGATTAAAAAAAAACCACAATCACATGCAGGGCCTTATGAAATGACAAGTCATTCAGACACCGACTTTTGGTCTTTATAAACTGCATGGTAAAGCTAAAAACTGGTTCTACAGTGAAGAGTTACATTTTAAATTCTTCAGCCAAGATTTTGATTACACAAAGTCACAATATTAAGAACTACAAGTTAGTTCTTGCTTGCTCTGGGCTTCTGTGCACTTTATAGGTTTTGCTGGTCCAACTCTATCAGCAAAACCTCACAGGAAACAGAGCTTATACACTCAAAAGCATTCTTTTGCCCGATTTAATTTAAATCAATTTCCCAAATAGAATTAAAGTTGCACCAGAGGGAAAACTTTTTAGTTGCTATCACAGCACCTTCATTAGGGTTTTTGCCAGCATAGCTATTTGGCTGTAGTTTTTGCAATAAATGATATAGCTATGACAGGAAAGAAAATAAAATATGAAAGAAGACAGTATCTAGTTCATTCACAGCAGGAAAGGAAGCAAATTCAAATGCTTCTCAATGGCATCTGAAATACCACTTTGCAGATTACAATAGCAAAGTGCAACTTACCAACTAGTCATGTTGTAAGTAAAGTTAATTTTTAAACTAGGAAATTAAAGCCCACACATGTTAAACTCTCAAGAGATGCAAAGTTGTTAGAAGGCATTTAAATGGTGCTTCAATTTCTCTTTTAATTAGACATCACAGAGGGATACTGCCCAAATATACACAGCCCACTCCCACCATGGGGGTCCATCACACTGAATAACCTTTTGGTTGCTCAGCATTCCCCCTCTGCTCAGTCCCTCTTTCTAACCAAGGTGGGGACAAGCCAGCCAGCCTGACTTGCTGGTGGTCTTCTTTTTACAGGGGGAACACAAGTCAACCTAAAAACTTATTCTGTACAACTAAAGATCCAGCCAACAGTAAGAATAACTAAGCTACACACAACACCCTGGTAAACTAGTGGCATAAAACCGACACACTTGCCCAAGAAAGACATTTCAAATTTTGCTTCGAAAGGCATTATTATTATTCAGATTATCTGTGATATATTGATCACTGAAATATGCATTGATTTGGAGTAGCTTAAAAATGCCAGGCTTAATCTTGGACCAATGATTACCAGGAGATTTTCTTTAAAGACAAAATTTAAACTAAAAGCAGTAGTGGGAGGGAGGGGGTTTCCATCTGATATTAAAGAAAAGTTCCAAACAACATATGAGCAAGGCCTGTGACATTCGGAAACTTAACCCAGTCCCTCCATTCACACATCTGCAGGAGCTTACTGCCAGTTTACCAAACACTCAGCCTTTGCAACACTTTTACTCCTGCCTCTACTACAGAGATGAAGCATGGTGCTAGCTAATCACTGGCATTTTCAGTAGCCAGTGAAAAATACTATTAGTTTCCTGTCCCATTTGATAGCCTGGGTCTCTAGCAGCTGTTGAAGCCAAGCAGCAGCTTCAGAGGTAAGTGGTATTTGGGTACTGAGGATAACTTGCCCTTGTCTCTCTGGAGTTGAAAGAGCATCCTCAAAATACTCCAGTCGGACAGTAAAGAGCTTACGTGAAAACAAGTAATTTGTGTCTCTGGAACGGTGTTTAATAAGGGCTGGTAATAAATAAGGCTCAAGGCAATGCCAATGAACAAAGAAAGCAAAATATTGAATAACTGATCACTGCTCATTAAATACTTGTGCTAACCAAATGAAACATAGGTCCTCTGGGAATTGAGCAGGAGAGTAATTACTCCCCTAACAGAAGAATCCCTTACAGCATATGGCAAATGAGCTGGATTCAAATTTGGTAAGGCTATTTCAGAGCTGACAATTCTTAACTTTTACTCCACGGACTTTGAAGAACATTTTATTACACAATAAAACACGTTTACAAAACAGTAAGGGCAGTGAGCAGACTAGTGAAACTGGTGTTTCTCTGGATTTATCTCTCAGTTTTTAGTTTCTGGATAAATTTCCAATGCCTGAAAGGCATTTCACTGAAGTTCCTCTCTATGGACATCCTATCTGGGAAAGGGGTCTGGAACCTTTCCTTTTCGTGCAAACATGAACATATTAAGTTCTTGTTGTTTGCAAATATCTGAGACCTTTACTTCTGGGTTGAGTTTTACTGAAATCAACTAGAAAGGTGAATTGCTACCAGGGAGGGGAACAACACTGCCAGACAGTGCAGTGGCACAAGCCCTGTTTCTTTTGGAGTCAAACCTCGAGATGCTGGAGACACGAATACCAACAATTCTGCAAATGTGCTGGTAGGCTCCAATTTGACGTCCATCCCAACTCACTGTCTTCCACACTTTCATCTGACAAGTTCAGACACTGCTTCTTTCCGAAAATGCGTCAGTCTTCTCTGGCTTTAAAACATCTTTGACCAGAATCCCAGCATTAATACAAAACCTTACATTAAATCAGTGCACAAGACTTCTCACTGCTCCTCAGAAGTGGTATGGAAAGAAAAGACTAGGCTTTCTGTTTGCAACCAAGCTACATGCCTATCATGTCTTCACAACAAACGCTTTATAGCAACAACTAGTGCATATATATGTGTATGTATATCTATATATACATTTCTATATGCACCATCCTTTTCCTGGAAAGAAAGTTGGAATTTTTCTACTTAATAACAATTTATAAATTGCTAAATGGTTCCATATGACTATAAGTACCTTAAATTCAATGCAAACTGAGAAAAGTTCATTTGCCATTGTGGAAAATCAATTATGTCAGCAGTGAACAATCCCTGGCCACCAAAGTCATATGATGACATGGAAAAATAACACACTAATTCACCCTGTGAGTCACAGAGTTCTCCATATTTTATAGGCTGACTTATTTTATAATTTGACTTGTTCAAGTGATGAGAAGTCAGAGGAGTCAGTAATTAAATGCTGCTCTCCCAAGCCTTTTGTGGAACTGACATTTTCTGGGTTGGTGGTCCCATATTCTGCACTGATTTGGGCACACACAGTGGAATGCCAAGGTAACTGATTTTCAGTGGATGCACCACATACACAGTTCTGGTGCATTTCTTACACAAGACACAACCCCAGTTTTTGAAAGGTCCCTTTGGCTGTTAAGCCTGGCCTTCACATTCCAGAATTTGACAATCTGCACTAGGTTTTTAACATATTGTCATACATCTTTCTTTAGCTGTTCTGAATTAATTTTTATCAATTTTGTGGTACAAAACTTAGGGCTGGAATTAGGCAATGTCATGACTCAGCAGCTGTTCAGCACCATAACAAACTCAATTTTAGAGGCATCTAGGCACTGCTTCAGGGGTTGAGGAGAAAGATGTGGAAGAAAAACCATGAAGAGACACAAGTGACTAAGAACTATCTTCTAGATGGATGCAGAATTCCTGTGAAACAGCATCTAGGATAGCACTCGCTATCAAGAGAGTCATCCCTGCTCCCTGGGAAAGTCTGAGCCTCAGATAAAAGCAAGCGAATGGTTCTTCAGAGCACTAGAGTCATCTGTTTCAGTCAAAGCTATCATCACTGCTGCAGTCCACCAAAGACACTTTAAATCAAGCTCCTCTTGTGAAGCACACACTCGTATTGACTGACCACCTTGGAAACTCAAATCCAAGTCACAGCAACACCACCTCTGCCTTCCTACAAAGACTCTGCTCTCCCAAACAGGTTGGGAGGGAAGGGGGGGGAAATCTCCTTCCATGACCGCAAGTTAATAAAGGTCAAGCAGATTACCTCTGTCAGAGAGCACTGCTGGTACCTACTGAAACGAACCACAAACCATCTTTTACACAAAGGCTAAAAGCCTTAGTCACTTAATGAGGACAAAGATAGAGAAAAATTCAGTAAACTGCCTCATTAAGAAGTGTCCTCCTGCCCCAAATCATCTTTAAAAATTCCTATTTAGTAGAAGTAGAAAACGTTTCCATTTCATATACCAGCAAGACCCAGTACACAGACATCTCTTAGTGTAGTTCAGAATTTTTTAATAAAACAAATTCATTAAGAGACTGCAATGACTACTGCCTATGTACCAATAAGATGTATAGCAGCCTGGCTTATGTTCATGTAACACCTGCTCAGAAGCAAGAGAATACCTACATAAAAATGAAAGCTTTAAACAAACATTTTGTAAATTCATCACCAAAGTTCTTCCCATCTAAGTTACATCTCACTGCTGTCCTCTCCCTAACAGAGGATATTTGCCCAGCCTTCTCCCTTCTGATGCTAGTGGAGGTTAAACATCCTCGAAAATTATTACAGTGAAAGCACCGAGTCTTTTGCTGGAAATCATTCTTCCACTGATAGCATGATGACACTAAGCACTAGATGGAGAACATATTTCACTCCCACATGCAGTTTGTACATACACCACTTCTCTTTTTTCTTCCCTGAACAGATACATTTGCATACAAGAAGATGGATATACATGGCAAATTTTCTTCGACACGATAATTTTTTTTACATTACATAAAAATACAGTTTTCATTAGTACTTCTGAAAACAAAAAAAAAAAAACAAGTCTAAGCTTATAATCATACACTGCTGAATTTTCACTATAATCGTTCCTATGGCAACATTAGCCCTGACCCACAACGGCATGTAGAAGTATTAGTTATGAGAACTCTCATTCATTCATCAAGGATGCATGTGTGCACACACAGGCATGCAGACAGACTTGTCCTTCACTGAAGGGGTAAAAAAAAAAAAATTCTTTGTCAAGTATTCTAATTAAGAGGTGACCACTAGTGGACTTTAAAAATCCCAGGTAGATCACGTACTAGACACCTACACTGGAACATTTTGGGGAGCAAAAGAGAAGGTGGTGTAACTTTTGAAGGTAACAGGCATAATTTAGGTGGCAGCATGTCACAAGGACACAGGCAGTGTGTCCTGCTGGTTGCAGCCAGGGACTGATATTGGGAGAAGGAGAGGTGTCTTTTGGCAAGCATATCCCAAGCTGCCACAGCACCTGCAGTTGGGTTGTTCAGAATGAATCACAGGTTACAGGTTCTGTCGCTCACCCTCTCCTCTCTTCCAAATACTCCACAACCCACCACGACTTTCACAACTGCATTGCCACAGCAGCGTGCACATGCTTTGTAAGGCCCTCTCCAGTTTCTGAAAAGGACAGCAGCAGGGGTAGTTTGTGAGATGGAACAAATTCCTCCTCCTCCCAAGTAGTTGCAGGAGAGGAGGGGAGGGATGTGGTCACAGAAATACCCTGGTGTTTCCAGCCTTCTCCTTGCTACCCACAGTCCTGGAGAGCGAAGGGTGGTTTTCCAAGGCCCACACATGGCTCCGTGCTTGCTGTACACTCCTCCACAATGCTACCAGGCTCTCCAAAAGCACCTGATTTGCCATGCTGGCTCCCCTGCTCTGGCCACATAGTTGAGGAACAGCATCCTGCTTTTACTGACAAGACAGCCTCCTGCCTCTTCAGCTAGGAAAGAGCTGTCACTACACAGGTCAAAGACACAGACCTCTGTCCCAACTGGAAGCCAGTAACTGTGCACATCTCAGATTTTGGGTGCTGTGTGCTCTAAGACTTCTTTCTCAAAAAGACTGCAGCATTCTTTGATGATTTCAGCTTCCAAGTTAATTTTGAATGCAGCCCTGTATTGAACATGCTGCAACGGCAGTACCAGCCTAGAGGAAAAAACCTCTGTCACAACAACTTAGACTGCAAGATAGAAGAATTCTCACTTTCCCAGCTGGGTGGAACCAAAAGTTTTGTTCAAAAGTATCATCCTCCAAGCAACGCATACCACACTTGTTTAGAACTGCTTATCAAAAGTATCTCTAGGTTTTGTTACAGCACCTTCATTGCACAGTACTGCTGGTACACACCAGCAGGCATGGCAATGCCATACAGCTATCCAGAGGGGACGTAGCCAACTCTGCATGTTTTGTCAGCCAACACTCTGTGAGGTTAGTACGTGCTCTGCAAAAAGTGCGGAAAAGGTGCATTTAGAACTAGGGACCCACTATATGTGTTAGCACAGAAATCTTCAAGTCACGGTGTTTGATCCAAAACTCATGGCAAAGAGCCTCATTTTCCCTAACCAGTTAAATTTCAAACTACAAAGCTTGTTAGCAGCTGCTGACTCCTGACAACTCTAAATAGCTTTTGATAAAGTCAGTTCCTGTTACTGCACGTGCTTCATAGGATGACCAGCACTGCCTTTATCAGCTATCGGCACTTGTACACTGCTCCCTCTCCAGTGCCACTGCTGTTCACCACAGCCAGTTCACATCTGGGAAAACCATTTAACTGAAACAGCATCACAGTCACTATGGAAAAGCCATGCACGTACAGGTCCTGTAATGACCCTTCATTGCAATTTCTCACAGTTTTTTCCATACCTCAATCTAGCCACTTCTCCTACGGATTTCCACATGGTTGCAAGGTCACCTCCTGAACAGAGACAATCTGAGCTAACGTTTTTTTGAACAGAACGTGGACTCATCCACTTAGAAACCCGTATGTCCCTATTAAACCACTCACAAATGCAAATCAAGGTTCCTCTGCTTGCCCTACCTGTTCAAGGGAACCAAACTGGGTCAACATTCAACCTGTATTGCTTCAGGTCCCATGTAACATTCACACTGGATACCAATTCACCTGCTTCGAACTCAAGATGTTTCCAGTCATTGTCACGTGATTTCTTATGCAAAACAAAATTTTATCTTGGATATTTCCTTCACAGTCTTTGCTTATCCCAGCATTTCCTCAGGATTGCTTTTAAAATTTAGCAAGTACAGTTTGAAAGGGGAGAAACTGCACGTTTCTTTTTCAGCTTCAGAAGGGAGTGCACAAGCCCGGGAATCCACATCACAGACAACAGACAGCTCAAAAAAAACATCATGCTTCTTTCCAGGATATTTTTGGTACTTCCTTCTTACATTTGCAGAGGAGGAACTGGCCCACGTAATACTAATCTATAACATTTCACGGTAATTTTCTTCAGAACTAGAAATTCAGCCTTTTTATTAATGACTGGGCAATAGAAGAACCTGAAGAACTTGTTGAACAATTCAGATTTTGAGAAAAGTTAAAGAGGAAATTCAAGGAAAACATTGTTTCCTTCAGCTCCAGTGTATACAGGAGATACCACCGACACAAGTTTCCCATCATATTTGTTTATAATGTACTAACAAGTAACCTAACACTTTGAAAGATTAAATACATGTGTTGCATTCAAGTTACGCACAGATCATAATTACTTAATTATATGTACAAATATTATTTCATTTGTAATTTTGAATTAATGCATACCATAAGCGCACTCTGCATTTTAACTGCTGGTTTTAGTTAGCCACAAGGTGGCAGAAATTTCAAAGTTAAAATAAAAAGATCATTGTAGGCTATGCCATGCGTTCGGTTTTGTTTCACCTACTATGACTAGAAATGGGGAAGTATGCTTATGTCACCAGATTAAAACTTTAAGAACACACAAATCCTTTTTCTGTATGTGGGTAGAAAAGCAAAAGGAAACCTATAGCATAATGCATAATATAAATTTTTAAAGAAAAAGTATTTACAACCACTGATTAAGAAAGTAAAACATTATATTTTAAAATTTTAACATATAGATTAAAAGTTATCAACTATTGAAGATATAAGCAAGCATAAAATATGTGGCCTGAATTTCAAAAACACCAAAAAAGTTATTTTAGGTATTCAGATTATACTTTTTTGCATGTTTGAAAGCAGCATTAAATTTTCTAATCTTAAAAAAAAAAACAAACAACACCTGTCTGTCTTCTGGTTAGCAGCTGCATTCTTCTATTTTTTCCCTGTTATTTTGCTATGATTGTCCATTAAGAAACAGACACAAAAGAATGAACACTGTAAAAGGGTATTGCTAAAACATGGCTAAAAATCATTAAACAGTAACTCCTCTGTCACTGGCAAATTACTAACCTTCTGCCCTCGGCATTCAAATAAGTTTGCTCAATTTTTCTGTTTCTTGAAATTTAAAATTTATTTTTTATCAAAGTGCAAGAAAAGTTGTTGATAAAAATAGTTAATTGAGTAAAGCACACTACACTGGGTGCAGGGAAAACAGACTTTCTTAAAAGTCAATGCTTAACTTATTGTTAAAGTGATGATGTAATTCGAAACGAAGTTGCATATGAATTCCAAAGCGCAAGTCAGATGACAGTAACAACTAAGTAAGATACTTACTGTCTAGCCTGGTCCTTATTGCCGTACGTTACATTTACAACTGCAGTCTCCGTGTCAGTGTTCACTAGAAAGGAAAATGCAATGAAAACAAGTTAAGTTCAATGTGCACTCACTTCCCACTACAAATTTGAAAGCAACTTGAGAGTAGAGCTGTACCTTGCTCACAGTTTTCCACTGTTCCATACTGAGCTAACAAACTGTCCAGCACCTATAAGAGGCAAAAGAAATGACAGATTTAAATTTCAAGGCAGATTAACAAAATAAAAGGCCTGTAAAAACACTAAAATTTGTAAAATAGTTGTATGAGAACATAGATCATTCAAGACAGCCGCTCCAACAAGGAAGAAATGTTAACTGTTCTGGGAAAAACAAGCATACATTGTTTGTATGCTTTTTCTCCTAACAGAAAATCTGCATTTGAAACCTCAATAATGTAAAAATACAGAACATAACTCCAAGAAGTTATGTTCTGAACTGCACCTCCCAAACTTTGAAAATAAACCTCCAAGTTCACCTGTTCTCAAAGTGGGCTAAAGCATAAACAGAAAGAATTAAGAGAAGAGCAAATCTGAGGTGAAACTTTCTCCATGTATTCCAAGAAAACATATCTAATTTTGTCGCTGTTTGGAGTTGTTGGGTTCTTTCCTCACAACACCCTTAGATCATACATAAAAATGTTGTTTTCTTTCTTAGTGGGGCATTGCCTAAATAGACAAGGTAACCAGAATAACCAGCACACCGAGAGCTGTTTCACAATTATTTTGACAGCTTTCCCATAGATCCATTCCAGAGGAACGACTCATAACAGTATCTTCACCATTATTTTAAAGTCACAACTAATTTTTCCCTCAGCAGAAAGCCAGGGAGAAACAGGTAAATGTGTATGACAAGGAGCAAAAGAAATCTGCATGAAGTACTTTTATCTTGTATAATTTCCTTTATTCTAGTCAAATGGAGGATGGAGAAGGCGGAAGAACACAGACTTTTGGGGAAAATCAAGGTGTCAGAGTATTCCAGTAAAAGCATTAAAACACTCACAGTTGTACTGCTTCTAAAATTCATATGGTATATATTTTATTTTCTTCCTGGTGAGAAATAATGTTGCAGAAAACAGTGACTGTGACAGTAACTAGCACAGGACACAAGTACATCATTGTGGTGTGCTGAGTCCTAATGTTTTCTATCGGAAATTAAACTGATTCTGGAGAAGTTCATCATTTACACCAAGAAGTGAAAAAGTAAACTTGCAATCTCTTCTCTGACCAAAGTGTCATTCTCCAGCTAGTCTTTAAAGCCAAAATGTCAGTAGGAAAGGGAAGAAACCCCTTCGGGAACAGGAGGAAACAAGGAAGCAAGGACAGAAGGAAAACAGTTAACATAAAGTTTCTGTGCAGCTTCCCATTGCACTACACTTCCCTTCGCTATATCTAGCAACTGAGTGTGCACAAATCCCCAGCCCTTAAAAACGTAAAATTTAGTCTACGCCCTCACTAGATTAAAAATCCCAGTTTACAATCTATCAATGCACCCTATACTTTGCATGGTATATGTAAGAGACATTTTTAAGATAAGTTTGGGCATATAAACTGCAATTTAAAGACAATTTATATCAGTATAATTTCCACTCTTTACCACCTACTAACATTTAAACTGCACACAGACATTTCAAAGGTAACATTTCAGAACAGATATTTAAAGGCAATGTGGTGCTCACCAAGTTTAAGCAATGCATTACTACTTCTAACTGCAGAATTTCCCCATCCTTCTTGTAGAGACTCTAGTAAGTTTTCTTGGCAACTGTTTTGTTTTCATAGACAAGTTGTTAATTGTCCTCTCCTTCTACAAGTAGAGATTAGCCTAGTCTGAGAGTTTGTCTTTTCAGTTCCCTGAAAAATAACTTTTCTGCCACTCCTCAGATCTGACAATTGGAAACTAAGTGAATGTTTGCTCTGAAATTCACTAAATATTACTGAAGCAGAGATGCTCCAGGGGATTAAAATAAATTAAAAGTCTGTGGAAGATCCTTTTAAGACAATTAAAATGTTGGCACAGATGAGTGGGAGAGTTGTGCGGTCTTGCAGGTCTGCAGCTGTACCTCCACACAAGCCAGGAGAGCCACTACATGCGATTAGAGGAAAGCCTTCTTGCACAGACAGTTTAAGTGATCCATTGAAATCAGGAGATGAACAGAATCTCAGGTGGGGTCAGAGGTTTAAAACAAGAAAAGCAGAGCAAGTCCCTGGCTTAGAGATCCATTCTGAGAAGTTTAGTTGAAATAGGACACTGAAGAGTTCATTAGTCTGATAAAGCAATTCCTTTGTCCCTGCAATATGCCATTTGGCAAAATAAACACTTGAAGAAAAGTAAAAAAATCAGTGTTTACAGAGCCATTGTGCTGTCTACTCTCTTATACGGATCTGAATCATGGGTCATTTACCACCACCACCTGTGTCTCCTAGAACACTTCCATCAACGCTGTCTCCATACAATCCTAAACATCCACTGGTCAGATTATGTGACTAATACATCTGTTCTAGAACAAGCAGAAGTCACAAGCATTGAGGCCATGTTGCTGAGAACACAGCTGTGTTGGGCAGGGCACATCTCAAGGATGAAGGACCACCACCTCCCTAAGATCTTGCTTTATGGTGAACTTGCCACCAGCTGCCTCAAGAGAGGAGCCCCGAAGAGAAGATACAAGGACTCTCTGAAACAACATCTCAACCTTGGTCATACTGATCAACATAACTGGTCTACTCAGGCCTCCAATCGGGAGGTCTGGAGACACACCATCTATAACGCTGCTGATGTCTTTGAGAACGCACGCAGGATCACTCTCGAGGAGAAAAGACAACGCAGAAAGAATCGTGCCTTGCAGAATACACCATCTAAGGAGTCTTTCTGCTGTGCCTTTTGCAACTGGACATGACTATCTCGTATTGGCCTTTTTAGCCACCAACGCACTTGTAACAAACGTGGGTAGAGCCCTTCCCAAATCTTCCTTCGCGAGGCCTAGCCACGATGATGATGACAATATGCCAACACCCATGTCGTACTACACAGCAAGCGTACTACAGCGTAAGCTAAATCTTTAGTTATTACTACGTTTGAACTGTGCTAACCACCAGCTCATACCCACTCTGCCCCAAAGCTGCATCACTTCAAAACAACAGAATTTCTTTATCATCCTTAATCATACAGGAAAAGAGCAAGCTAGAATGCCAGAAGTTTCATGAGAGTTTGCTGGATAATAACTGATATTTTGTAAGGTAGTTCTATATTTAAAGTCACCAGCTTCATCAAGAAAAGAAATACTTTAAAGCTGAATTCACACAACTTTTCGAAGATACTACATTCTCTCAAGAACTACTTTCAGCATGTTTCTGATCAGCCATCAGAAACATCTCAACACACTATCCTTGCATTTGCTCCAAGAAGCCTGAGAACTAAAAGGCTCCTTCCCTGTTACTGCTGAGGAGCAGCCCAGGATGGCACATTCAACATCCCACTCCTCTTCACAAGGAGTTCTCCACTTATGCTATTCCTTAATCCTCTTCTGAGTCATTTCAGTCAGAAATAGTGTCCATCTGGGCTTTAATCCAAGTGATTTGAGTTCCCATGTTCTTAGAAGAGTTGCTTTACCAAACAGATTTATGAAGAGTTTCCTCAAAGGATTGAAGCTTGCTTTAACCGAAATGAGAAACAATCCTCTTCAGTCAAAGACACTTGCTCTCCACAGCACTGTTCTCAGTAGAAACTTGAATTTTCATCACTATCAGCCTCATGCAGCAAGACTTAAAACATGGTAAACACCACAGGGGTGTTTTAATTAGATTGTAGTTAAAATGCACTAGTAGGAAAGTTTCTGCAGCAGTTGAGGTATATGTGTCCATGTGTAAGAAGCAAACTTCATGGGTGAGAACACTTTTAACTGAACCAGCTGATCCAGATGGGAAAAGTCATTGCAGCTGTATTCAAAGCTACGGTAATTCACTTTCAAAACACAGAACTCAATTCCTGCATGTCTTTCTTGCTTCACGTGTATTTACTGCAACAGTTAGTTCCTATACACATCTCTCATTTCTTCATATGTCTCTTTCTCGCTATCTTTTCTCTCTCCCCAAATTTTTCTCCCTAGCCCAAAGCCTCTATTTCTGCTGCAAAACAAACATGTTTTGTTTAAGCTGCTCTTCCGTAACACTCTTCGTGTACAGCCTTGTTGGGCAATCAGAACAAAATTCAAAGCCAAGTTGGTGGTGCAGCAGCAATTCTGATGAGCAGCTGAAAAGTTTATTTGTACAAATATTTAATCTAAGCTAGAAAAAAAAAAAAAAGTCTTTCCTTTTCTTCAGCTCTCCTTCTCGCAGTTGTCTAAATTGGGTCTCCTGCTCTTGTTATAGCACAGATGTCTCTCTCACAAAAAGCTGCAGTCTTATACTGTGGACTTTCATTCATCAGGCTCTAAAAGCCAATTCTGACTTCATTATAAACAGCATTACCCTACACCAAGACCCACAAATCGAGGCTGCTTTACATGGAAAAAAGAAAGAAGGAAACATCACTTTTCAGTAAAGCCAAGCGCTTGATGCACACATTAAAATATCCCTGTTCTCATACAAAATTTCACAGGTTTAGAAGTAGCACCTTTGAACAAATCAGAGCAGTTGTTTTCTGCACTTTCAGAACAGACTATTTCATACACATCACTTTATAGTGCTATAGGATTTGTGTTGTATGCCATAAGCAAATTAGTCTCAAGATATCAGGTCCGCAAGCACAGTTATCCATATTGTTTCTCTCTCACACACACACTTCACAACAGGAACTTCACAGTGGTGCTGTAGAACCTGAAGTTATTTTCTCCACTCATGTAGAGCAAATCCATTAGACCACCACCCTTGTTTCCATGACTTTTGTGCCACATTGACTGGGAGTTAAAATTAGTCAACACAACTGAAATCATAAATAGCAGAGGCAAAGAGAGGCAGGAGGATTAGGGTCATTCAGTAAAAAAGGATACGGAAATATTTGCCTGCAAAGACTTTGAGTGTACTGTGTAAATTAACAAAACCAAACAAAAAACCAAACCAAACCAAAAAAGGACAGGTATCAGGCAACAATATGAGGAAAGAGTAGTTGTGTGGACACATGGCTATTAGATTTAACAGAGGAGGGGTGGGGGTGAAAGAAAACAAAAGAGCCAGGTAA